CTCGTACATTTCATTCGCCAACTGAGTCCTCCAAGCAGTCCACGCAGTAGAGGTCTCAACACTATCAACTACATTGGTGTTGTCATCGTCCTCATTAAGAACATACTCGGGTACGTGGTCTTCCAATGGGTCAACTGACATCTCATTTCTAATGAAATTATGTAACAGACAACAAGCAGCAATAATTCTATTATGTATGGGAACTGGGTAGAAACAGGCAGTTCGAAGAATTGTCCATCGCATCTTGAGGAGAGAAAAACACCTCTCAATAACGTTCCTGGCAGATGAATGTTTTAGGTTAAAATATTCCTCGGCATTACGAGGAGCTTCCCTTCCATTTCCAAATTCGTCAAGATGGTATTGTTGACCCCTAAAAGGAGCTAAGAAACCCTCACCATTGGTGTAACCAGCATCACATAAATAACATGTGCCTGTCGTAATTGTGTATATACTCATTAGTAAATAATTTCTAAAAAACTAAAAACTAATGCTAAAAATTTTCACTATAGCTTACCCCGTTGAACACGTAACCCAGTACGTCTTGTAATTGCATCTGAAAGGACTCTTGAATCTGCCGCTGATCCCTCCCAACCAGGTAAAACATAAATAATTTTCATGTCAGGTGCACAAACACCTAACACATTTTTTGCAATTTGCCCCTTCCTTGTCCTATATCTTGCTTGGTGCACAAGTGACACTTTTGCTCTAATGTGAGTGCCGTCTAAAGCCCCAACACAGTTCTATGCAATAAGAAATAAACATATTATCAACTGATTTTCGTTAAGTACATACTACGTGACGTGACAACTCAAATGTAGATCTACTTTAAAAAACCTTAGAATACCTTAAAAAACTTCCACTTAGGGTCAGTGCATTCATCTGTGATTGGATCAGGGACTGCAAGCAGTAGTCAACGTAGCCTAAGAACCGCCAACAACACTGCATTGAAATACTTGCTAACCGTCTCACCAAATCTAATGAAACTGAATTTGACTGGTCTATTCTTATGATCATAACTAATAACGCTCAAGAACATAGCTACCATCTCTTAAATGCTAACATTCCTTGTACGACTGAGCCCGCCAACATGTTCAACTACTGTGCACAATATAGAAAAACATCGTCGGTCCATCTTAAGTTGATTGTAGCATGTTATATCATTTTCACCTATCAATCTATTAAGATGCTCTATTTGCAGTCGGGTTCGCGTGACTGAGCTTGGGATCTTATTGTTGTGTTTGAATGTCATGAAATTCCAACAAATTTGTAATCACAGCAATCAGACATGAGCATATCATAACCATATCAGAGAGGACACTATCCAAAATAACCACCAATGGCACACTGAGATCATTGTCTTCATCCATAACTACTGTCACTAACACAAATTACAGTAAACATCCACAGCCAACAAGCAGCGCTTTAAATTACCAAAAAAAAACATATTAAAGTAACAAGCATGCATTAGATATCATCACAACAAAGAATACATTTTTTTTGTTCAATATAAAAAAAATAAAATTGCTACAGTGGCTACAGAGATCCCGACATTCATTGAACAATGAAAAGGCCAAGTCAAGCCAAACCTAAGAGTTGCATTAAAAAAAAAAAAGATTGGTCATATAATACATTGTTTTCTTTGTTTGAAAGAGAATGCTCTACAACATATTCCATATGTTTTCCAAAAGTTAAGATTCCTCATTGCACAATGTATAAGTCAAGAAAAAACCAAACTAAAAAGTATCAAATTGAATTTTAAAAGAGCTCATGCCCAACATAGGCAACCAAATTCCGATCCTAACCACCATGCCAAAAAAAAAAAAAAAAAGTTTCTATCAAAACCAAGTCTTCCCTAAATTAAGAATTTCAAAGCTTTGGCTTGTTCATGTTCATTGAACCATTTCTTTAATGGACAGAATTCAACCCCCACTTTAAAACAACCTACATCATATTTAGTTTCCAAAGCTTCAAGAACTAAAAAAGTACCGAACCAAAGGTAGTACAATGCATAAATAAAGTCTTCACCAGAAAAATCTCTGCTTACAAACAATTTTGTCACAGCTTGGATGACTCAAGGAAATATAAGGGTTATAATAAACTTACCGAAAGGCGGAATTTGAGAAAGGTAGATTATGAAAATGCAATGAATATGGTCCAAAAAACCAGTGAGTAAGAGTGGCCAAGGAAACGACTGAGCGTTGAGGGAGGCGACTGAACGTTGAGGGAGGTGACTGAGCGTTGAGTGAACGAGTGGCTAGGATTCGATAGAAAGTTGGCTTTTATATGGGGATCCAATACATGAGGGCATTTATGTCATTTCACTAGCTTATACTGTCCTTTCACTTGTACCGGGCATATAATACCACCGGGTAGATGATATTCATTAATACCATGTACAAGGCATTATGCGTACTGTTCATACCCGGTCGGTATTATGATCCGAAAAATAGTATTACCTATAAAATACAAAACAAGCAGGGTATTAAGTAGGACACACGTACTATTTCTCTAATACTATCTCCTTATACCATCCTTATCCTTGAAACAAACTAGTCCCATAAGAATAGGTAAATAAAATAGTGAGTCTCATTTATTCTTTATTTGGGAAACATTTTTTGAGACAGGATAACAATCCCTGATCAAACTTTAACCCGAATGCTACGGTAATCCTTAACCCCCTACACCGGTTACAATTAACCCACCCTCTCCATGGGTTACAAACCCAAGCAGTAGGTTAACTCTCCACAAGACCCATTTGCCCTTTCTTTCCCTGTCACTCACCCACTCACACACAACAACACACACAGCTGAACTCGTCCTAGGGGTTTGGGTTGGAGGCGATGATGAAGGTGATGCACAGCAACGACGAAGAAGGGGGCTGAAGCATCACTATGAGGTCGTCAAATTTTCTGCACCTTCTCTCTCTGGTTTTATGGGTGAACACGAAGCACCAATTTTTTTTTTTTTTTTTGGAATTAAAATATCATATATGTTCTTCATTTGGTTTTATGGGTGAACACGAAGTACCAATTTTTTTTTTTGGAATTAAAACCTCAAATCTGTTATTCATCTGGTTTTATGGGTGAACACGAAGTACCAATTTTTTTTTTTTGCAATTAAAACCTCAAATCTGTTATTCATCTGGTTTTATGGGTGAACACGAAGCACCAAATTTTTTTTTTTTGGGAATTGAAAACCTCAGATCTGTTCTTACACAAAGCACCAAATATTTTTTTTTTTTTTTTTTTTAAAAACCTCAGATCTGTTCTTACACGAAACACCAAATTTTTTTGTTGGAAATCTCAGATCTGTTCTAACACGAAAAACCAAATTTTTATTTTTTGAAATTGAAAACCTCAAATCTGTTCTTTGTATAATGGGAGCTTAAAAAAAATTATCAACGGGTATAATGGTAAATATTTATAAAAGTCAAGGTGACATACATTCAATTCAATTGTTCCTCGCCAAATAATGATTTGGGTCGGATACAATGATTTGGGTTGGATGACATACATATACATTCAATAAGTGCCTGAGTGGTTTTAGGTGGAATGGGTTAGAATACAAAAAATTCAATCCATTCCTATCTTTATCGAGTATCCAAACACACCCTTTCATTTTAGACGATAACTGATTTGGAACTAGTGCACCAAAATTTGGATTCTTTTAAAAAATTAAAACAGGAGGAAAAAAATTTGGATTCTTTTAAAAAATTAAAACAGGAGGAAAAAAGTCTCCCACCCTTATCTCTTCTATATATGTGGATCGTGAGAATTAACTAATCAATCTCATTTGGTGTCAACACGACAAGCTGCGCCAATCGTGACTTGAATAGCAAAAGTTAGCCCATGAAAAAAATTACTACACGAAACTTTTGATTTGAAAAGTAAGCAGACTTTTTTATTTTTTTTTTTAAATAATTTTTAAAGTAAAATATCAATTTTTTTAAAAAAACCATAAGTATTACTTTACATGAGTTATTTACAAGCATATCTGTGTATAAATAATATACTAATATGTGTAAGCATAATAAATCTGGACAAAATCAAAGAGAGGAGAAAAAAGAAAGGTCCCATCTTTTATCACCTCAACGTGGATTGTGGGCATCAATTTATCAACCTCATTTTGATACCAATATGACTAGCTAATTCCATCGTGACTTAAATAGTCAAAGTCAATCAACAAATTATGATTAGTCAAGTACGAAACTTCTCGCAACTTATAAATAACATGATTCTCACTTCTTTCTGATAAATAATTAATTGAAAGATAATTTAATTATTTTTCAGTAGTAGAATTTATCCAAATCAGCAAGTTTAATTTATGTTGAATTATTAATTTTAATTTATATTTATCTAAATTAGTAAGTTTAATTTTTGTTGAATTATCAATTTTAATTTATATTTTGAATTAGTTGCCAAATTTCTAAATTCTCGTACACCCCTAAGAATTTCTTCTAAATTTTGTTGAATTGTCTATTGCAACAACGAAAGTGAACATTTGAAATGTATTGGGAGAAGATTTAGGCAATTCAAGAATAGCCTATATTGCGAACAGTTAGTGAGGTTTTCAGTTTTCATGGCATGTAACCTTCTTTTGGAGGGTGATGAGAAATTTCAATGCGGATTAAAAAATCACACAATTTATTAGCACTGTGCAATATAAAAGGACATGAATTTAAAAATCAAACTAAAATTAGTTATTATTCCATTGAGTTATACTTTTCAACGAAACAACATTGAGATAATTTACACAATATTTTTAAATTTAAAATAATTTTGATATGGATTTAAAAATCACACAACTTGTTAATTCAATGCAATATAAAAAGGACAGGAATTTAAAAATTATATCACAATAGTTATTATTCTATTAAGGTATAAAATGACAGGATACAAAAACTAAGACAGCTATGGTAGAATAGAGATGGCATTTGCCGAATCTACTTAAATCAATAGAGATGGCAAGACATTGCGGAAACACTGGGTAGGCACTTTGGAATGGCCAGCAGCTTCCTTTTCCTTATTCACTTCTTGATCTTAGTGTTCCTTCCTCTAAACCTTGAAGCAGCTCAAGAAGATGAGGGCAGGGTATTCAATTTCAGGTGCCGTCACAATGGGCCATCAATCAGATTTCCATTCTGGGTTAAAGGTTTCCACTTAGATCGCTACCGCTATCCTGGGTTCGAGCTATCCTGTGACAAGAACAAACAAACAGTCCTTGATCTTCTCTTTTCTGTGAAGCTATTTGTCAAGAAAATTGACTATAAATCTCAAGTTATTCGATTGTATGACCCAGATGGCTGCGTTCCGGCAAAAGCTTCCAAACCTCAACTTGTCTGCCTCCCCTTTCCAGTTCAATGAAATAGACGTAGCTAATTACTCGTTATTCAATTGTTCTGCACCAGGCAGACAAATTGATCCCTCGGTTCCTTGCCTTCGAGCTTCCGCCTACCGAGTGTAAGCCATATGGTCTATGGAGACAGTTGATGATTATCCTTTGACATCTTGCATCAACATTCATGACTTACAATCGGTGCCCTATAATATATTTGATCAAAGAGGTAAGCTTCAGTTGAGTTGGTCGAAACCAAATTGCAGCTTCTGTGAAGCTGAAGGCAAGAGTTGTGGATTGAAGGATAATACCACAGAACATGAAACTGAATGTGTTGCCAAATCCAAAACACTCAAAGGTATTTTATTTATTTTATGTTTTCCTTTAAATTTAGTTCACATAGGAAACATCAAACTCCTTCACTAAGAAGACGCAGAATTCTAAGAGTTATCACCGACTGCTTAATTAAATGAGCAATGCTATTGAGTCTAATTTATTCACTTAATCTGTTATCCTAATTTAATGATCCTTGGATTTAAGGATGTTAATGGACCAAAGCGGGGGTAAGGGTATAGTTTTCATCCCCGTACCTACTTAAAAAATCTCATCCCCGTCTGCGGATAAATTTATAATACCCGTCCCTGTCCCCGTCTCTGCTTTTTCGTACCCGCGCAAGTCCAAGCATAAGCCCAAGTTCAAACCTAAACTTGAGCCCAAGCCCAAGCTTAAACCTAAGCCCACACCTACATTGCTACATGGCCTTCTACGATTAACTTATCAAACAGGTCTAGAATAGAAACATAATAGAGAAATCATATAAAGGGAACCATTGACGATTAACACCTACAAGAAATAACAGCCTAGTTTTCCTGTTATTGTTCCAACTTGATGGGACATTTTCAAATATTTCAAGATAAAGACACGTGTCATCGGCATCAATATATTCTTGTTACTGTGATCACAACACGTACTCGTCAGTTTATAAGTCCCGCTTCCCCCGAGGTACTGTTCATAGGGATCAACGACACCCAGTATGTTACGTACCGACACGTATCCCTCGGTCGGATATGGGGTACATCGGTCCCTACATGTACCACTCCCTCGGTACCGAGATGTACCCGTCCAGGTTGGCGTTTTCTGCTCCTACAGAGGCTATTGATTTACAGGTCACTAGCCTAGGCTAGGCTAGGTTAGTCATCATGACCTCGTCTTACACAATTGGTGTCAAAAGGCACAAGACCCAACCAATGGGGAATGGGCGCGNATTTATCCAAATCAGCAAGTTTAATTTATGTTGAATTATTAATTTTAATTTATATTTATCTAAATTAGTAAGTTTAATTTTTGTTGAATTATCAATTTTAATTTATATTTTGAATTAGTTGCCAAATTTCTAAATTCTCGTACACCCCTAAGAATTTCTTCTAAATTTTGTTGAATTGTCTATTGCAACAACGAAAGTGAACATTTGAAATGTATTGGGAGAAGATTTAGGCAATTCAAGAATAGCCTATATTGCGAACAGTTAGTGAGGTTTTCAGTTTTCATGGCATGTAACCTTCTTTTGGAGGGTGATGAGAAATTTCAATGCGGATTAAAAAATCACACAATTTATTAGCACTGTGCAATATAAAAGGACATGAATTTAAAAATCAAACTAAAATTAGTTATTATTCCATTGAGTTATACTTTTCAACGAAACAACATTGAGATAATTTACACAATATTTTTAAATTTAAAATAATTTTGATATGGATTTAAAAATCACACAACTTGTTAATTCAATGCAATATAAAAAGGACAGGAATTTAAAAATTATATCACAATTGTTATTATTCTATTAAGGTATAAAATGACAGGATACAAAAACTAAGACAGCTATGGTAGAATAGAGATGGCATTTGCCGAATCTACTTAAATCAATAGAGATGGCAAGACATTGCGGAAACACTGGGTAGGCACTTTGGAATGGCCAGCAGCTTCCTTTTCCTTATTCACTTCTTGATCTTAGTGTTCCTTCCTCTAAACCTTGAAGCAGCTCAAGAAGATGAGGGCAGGGTATTCAATTTCAGGTGCCGTCACAATGGGCCATCAATCAGATTTCCATTCTGGGTTAAAGGTTTCCACTTAGATCGCTACCGCTATCCTGGGTTCGAGCTATCCTGTGACAAGAACAAACAAACAGTCCTTGATCTTCTCTTTTCTGTGAAGCTATTTGTCAAGAAAATTGACTATAAATCTCAAGTTATTCGATTGTATGACCCAGATGGCTGCGTTCCGGCAAAAGCTTCCAAACCTCAACTTGTCTGCCTCCCCTTTCCAGTTCAATGAAATAGACGTAGCTAATTACTCGTTATTCAATTGTTCTGCACCAGGCAGACAAATTGATCCCTCGGTTCCTTGCCTTCGAGCTTCCGCCTACCGAGTGTAAGCCATATGGTCTATGGAGACAGTTGATGATTATCCTTTGACATCTTGCATCAACATTCATAACTTACAATCGGTGCCCTATAATATATTTGATCAAAGAGGTAAGCTTCAGTTGAGTTGGTCGAAACCAAATTGCAGCTTCTGTGAAGCTGAAGGCAAGAGTTGTGGATTGAAGGATAATACCACAGAACATGAAACTGAATGTGTTGCCAAATCCAAAACACTCAAAGGTATTTTATTTATTTTGTGTTTTCCTTTAAATTTAGTTCACATAGGAAACATCAAACTCCTTCACTAAGAAGACGCAGAATTCTAAGAGTTATCACCGACTGCTTAATTAAATGAGCAATGCTATTGAGTCTAATTTATTCACTTAATTTGTTATCCTAATTAAATGATCTTTGGATTTAAGGATGTTAATGGACCGAAGCGGGGGCAAGGGTTTAGTCTTCATCCCTGTACCTACTTAAAAAATCTCATTCCCGTCTGCGGATAAATTTATAATACCCGTCCCTGTCCCCGTCTCTGCTTTTCCGTACCCGCACAAGTCCAAACTTAAACTTGAGCCCAAGCCCAAGCTTAAACCTAAGCCCACACCTACATTGCTACATGGCCTTCTACGATTAACTTATCAAACAGGTCTAGAATAGAAACATAATAGAGAAATCATATAAAGGGAACCATTGACGATTAACACCTACAAGAAATAACAGCCTAGTTTTCCTGTTATTGTCCCAACTTGATGGAACATTTTCAAATATTCCAAGATAAAAACACGTGTCATCGGCATCAATATATTCTTGTTACTGTGATCACGACACGTACTCGTCGGTTCATAAGTTCCTCTTCCCCCGAGGTACTGTTCATAGGGATCAACGACACCCAGTACGTTACGTACCGACACGTATCCTTCGGTCGGATATGGGGTACATCGATCCCTACATGTACCACTCCCTCGGTACCGAGATGTACCCGTCCAGGTTGGCGTTTTCTGCTCCTACAAAGGCTATTGATGTACAGGTCACTAGCCTAGGCTAGACTAGGTTAGTCATCATGACCTCGTCTTACACAATTGGTGTCAAAAAGCACAAGAAGGCACAAGACCCAACCAATGGGGAATGGGCGCATGACATATTGTGTCAGATCAAAGACAAAAAGACTGAGATGCCCTTGCTGACACACGACTTGAGAAAACAAGCATTTAGTGCACCATTCCCTTGATGGGACAGTATTTAATGCAGGAAGACTCGGAAGTGAAAGGTAATAAATGTCCCTATGACTGGACATTTATTACATCTTTACCGAGAGAAGCTCATTAAACACTCGGCAGGCCGATGACGAAGCATTAGTTGCTCGGGGTCCCGAGTAGTTAAGAGAGAAGACATTCCTCATAGGAATCAATGTGCACGTTGCCCGTATCTAATGATCACCTACTGACCACACTAACAGCAATCATGAGTTTTTGAAGTATAAATACTCCTCATAAAAGACAAGACGGTAGGCAACAAAAAATCTTTTCTCAAAGAGATACACAGTGTTTTCTCCTTCCCCTCTCTCAAAGAACTGACTTGATCATCAAAGAGGATATGCCGAAAAATACTTCGGCGCGCCCTCCTAACTCATTTTTCTCTGTTCCAAGAACATCCCTTAGCCTTACTGGACTGCTCCGTTGATCCACGAAAGTCACCCATTACCGTTCCAGGCCACCACTAGACCTCACACCTTTCCAAACAACAAGGCTGACCATTCGATCGGCTGACTCGTGTTCACCACGGGAGAGATCTGTTCTTGTGTTTATATTGTGCAAGATCCTGCACGCACAATCTGGCGCCGTCTGTGGAAAACGACTAGTTTTCCTAGTTTCTTCTCTATAAAGAACAGCGACCATGATGAATACTCGACAAAAAGGGAAAGGTCCCCAGCGAAGAAGTCTTGAGTTGCAAGCTCCTTGCCATGATGGAGGAGGGGATCATGTTTATGGGAATAGAAATGTCTTTATTCAGTCAAGAGGGCTTACTCCTCAGACCAGTATGGGCATCAGGTTAGGAGGAACCGCCCCCTTGGCTCGCCAACTAGCGGAGGTGATCGAAAAAAAAATTGGGGATCGACTACGACAATTGAAAAAAGACAATGTGAATGTTCTAAGTCGGCTCAACGATTTTGCCGTCTCCAACGAAGAATCGAGGGACTCATTCCTTTCTCGTGGACTCCCTGCCCGGGAAGCGAAAACTAAGGACCTGAGGAACCACTTGAATAACAAGGCAGAAAGCTCCAGGGCCCCAAAGCGACCAAGAACCAACAAGCACCCTTTCAATGACCATTCCAGGAAGGCAAGACCTTTAGCCCTGGGCGACCTCCGGCGAGGACTGTCAAGACGGAGGAAGGGAGATGAGTCCGAGAAGGATTCAACCCTTTCCATGCGGCGCCCAGGAAAAGGGGGACCCGTCGATGAACTTGGGGACTTCAGAAGACATCCCATTAGGGAGGAAATTGATCTCAGAGCTCGGTTGGAATCCAAGAGAAAGGGGTAAGGCTGTCCAGGATGATATCGAAGACGAGGTCATGCAATCACCCTTTACCAGGGATATCGGAGAGATGGAGGTTCCAAGAAAGTTCGTTGTGCCGAGGTTCAAAACTTACGATAGGCGGTCCGATCCCGAAGCCCACCTCAGGCAATACAAGCAAATGATGTCCCTCTATCATTCAGACCAACGGTTCCTCTGCCAAGTGTTTTCCATG